GCTCCGTCTCATACAGGAGGTACCTCCCTTGCCGCTGGCGCGGCGGCGGCCTCGGCTGAGTGCTCCAAGCGGCGCAAATATGCAGCTCTCAATGAGAGTTATACAGGGTGTTTGGCGCATCGTGTNGAGTAATCCTTCTGTACCTGTACTATTACTTATTCTGTGTCACTGGACTCGAATAACTCGTGCTAGGTTGTTTACAGATTGAAACGTGGTAAACAAGTAGTAATATACCTACATAGAAAGTCTTTGGATTGGATAACAAAAATGGATGAACTTATCTACACAAAAAACTGAGAATCAATCAGATAACCTGGATTCGAACACAAAACTTGTATGGAAATAAGAATTTGTGAAGTCACTTCGCTAACCTGATGTATTTTTGTATCCATGCGGAGCCGGAATGGGTTTGCGCAACCAAACGGACACCAGGTGAGTAACTCTCTGTAGAGCTGTATACATTTTGTTGGTAGCCGGCGACTGGTTGCGCCGCCATGGTGTCCCGGTGAAATATAGCCCTTAGAGACCCGTATAAGTGCCTTTAAAAGGACCTATTAAATAATAAGAATATCCTATTTTGTTTTGCTCTCAGTACAAAAGCTCAATCGCAAAGTTGTTTATGTGAAACAATATGACGGTCACGGGTCAGCTTTTTACATGCTAGATACCCGATAACGAGACCCTGAGAGGGAAAGTTGTGGTGTTTCCATGGTTAATCCGATTTTTAATCGATTCGTGGGTAGTCGGTCAGAATCACATTCACATCGTAAGAATTATTTTCCGTTTGACTCCATAGCTTAATGGCTAGCAAATTTTATTGTTTCAAAAATCCCGCTTTTATACAAAATAAGTAGTTTTGGCTATGTGTTGATAGATCAATGATTGATCTATCAACACATAGCCAAAACTTTCTTTCTGGCTGATTGATCATCAATCAGCCAGAAAAAAATGTATTTGTCTGCTAGATCATCTAAATTTTTATTGACTGCTTAACACCCAGAGTCACAGATCTCTATAAAAAATAAACAGCACACTTCCGAATCTTGCCCTAGCTTAAATAGGACCCAAAAAATATAATACTTACCTAAAGAAACAACTCACAACTTTCTAAATAGGGCCCGAAAAATTACCGTCGTACAATGTACACAGGGGCATACAAATTGCCGGCGAGCTAACCGATTTTTAATCTGATCGGGAAATGGGAACGGGTTCCTGGAGGGACTGTCGTCCTCCGGCCCTCTCGAGCCTTCCTTAGGATTAACCTCTGGTTGTATGAGCCTCGTATATTATTTATGTAGATATTGATAGGTACGTGCAGAAAATGGGCCTTATTTTTTCGCTTGAAATGTTTTTAAATTATAAACTTCATCGTATTTGTGCCTTGACTTATTAGAGATAGCAAAGCATATATTCAAATATCATTATTTGCATTAAATATGGTCAAACCCGTATCATTATTGTTCTAATGTAAAGATACTTAAGTATATTGATTAACCCTACACAATTAAAATAGTAAGACACGGGTCTTAACGCGACGTTTATTAATGAGTTACATTATGTACTCACGGCCTAATGTTTTGGCTGCGATGATGCAGCCGTGGTCCCAAGCAGACTGGCAGTCTTACTAAGTATTTTAGTTGAAATGGAACGCGAAAGTTTAAAATCCTACAAAATTAATTGAAATAACGTTCTAGAAATATCGCAAGATGGCGTCATGAATCTTGCAAAAAATTCACAGTAATTAGAATCAACAAAATATCGTGTACTATTGGCAACAGTGTTAACTACCCATTGCCGCTTATGTCGTCTCGTTCTATCGCAAAGAATCACCATTTGATAACAGCGAGAGCAAAAACAGAAATGGATAGTTAACAATGTGGCCGATAGTACTACGGTAAACACAGAGGAAATACACAATGTAAAAGATACTATTTAGAAGGTACTTACCACTTCTGCTACCGCTCCATACTCGAGGCAGCATACACCAGAATCACTAACTACACTTAACAATTCACTAATTTCAACTAGCACACTCTCAATTTGTTAAAATTATTTCACTATTTCTAATTACCTACATAAGTCCAAAAATACACAAAATAATATAAAATGTGCGAGAGACGTGCCTCGCAACGGACAACACGACACCAACGACACTGCCGTTTTGACAACTAGATGTCATAAAACTGAACTACCTACAAAAAGTTTGCATTGAAGGTTTAGGAAACTACCGTCAGATAATGAATAAAAAAAATATTTTAAGACTGAACTTCCACGTTCCATTACAATAATACATTATCGTTTTAGCGCTCACCAGTTAGTGCCACTGTAGAGTAAGGTCCTGTCACTTGCTGGTAGCGAAGACAGTGGCGCCAACTTGTGAGCGCTATAGTGGTAGGAGAACTATCGCATTTGCACTCATCAAGATGGCGCCACTGTTGAGTAAGGTCCTTTAGGTAAGGTCAATCGCCAGGGGTGCCAACTGTTAAGTATAAAAACTATAGCACTCATTAAAATAGGTCACAAAATAATCACAGTTCTCAACGCGTGTATTTCTTCTTCTTCTTTTATTTTGGAACGACTTGGTTTTGAGAACCATGATTTCGCCAATGTCACGGTTCCTCATCGCGCGTATAAAATGAGCACGCACAATTCAACGTTACGGTTGTCGTGGTCACAGGCAGACTGGCGGCTTGCGGCATCGTCCGTTGGAGCGTGCTAAAAATTTTTAGCTACCCTCGAAAAAAAAATTAATATGTATATGAGAGGTTTTTTATTTTATTATTTTAAGGGTTTCGTACTTACGTCAGAAGGAAAAACATAATTTTATTACTTTTTTGTGTGTTGATTTATTTTTAGGAGGAATTTAGGGGTTCGCAATAGGTACATATAAAAAATAAAAGAGGGAGAATTTTGCTAAATTATTTTAAGGGTTTTGTATGTCAAAGGGGAAAAAATAATTACTTTTTTGTGTCGCTATAAATTTTTTGAGAGGAATCTAGGGTTTTGCAGTATTACAAGATAGGGTTACCTTCAATATATTTTTTTCAGAGCTGGATTTAGATTTCGGAGTAAAATAAAATAAAGAGTAATTAAATCAAACAAAGCATTTTAACATGTATGCTTTAATTCAATTTATGCCGATTACATTATCATGAGCTTTATTACGTAATATCAAAGTCACATCCGGAATTATCGAACAATTTACAACCTTATTTAGTTACCAAGTGGGTATATTTTACAATGAGTTATAGTTTAATTGAGATTTGCCCAGCGTTTTCATTTAAATCTTAAGACATTCATTTATTAAATAACTAGAAATCGCTGGTAAAATCGTATAACATTTAGTTTGTATGAATAATAAATTATATGAAACTATAATTATCTCAACTATGAATATTTAAAAAAAATCCGTATGTAATAAAAAAAATGTAAAAAAATGAACCGTATGATAATGAATGATTTTTTACATCTGCCATTTTAAGATTGACTCACTTAATTAAAATGTGATTTAATGTAAGTATCTTATCGTATTGACAATATTTTTGAACGTTCGAGTAGTTCTTAATCTAAATGACAAGCTCTTGTTTTTTTTTTTTAACAAAAACAAAAACATCTTAAGGCCGAAATTAGTTTACATTTTTTTAAGCAAAACTTTTTTCGTAAATCGTAAATGTATATTTTTACAAATGAGGCACCTGAAATTTAGGAGAGCTTGTTTTTTTTAATAAAAAAAAATTTTGGTTTATGACTCGAGATTTATTAAAACAATTTTTTTCAGTCTTTTTTACGCGTTTTATTTTTTTTAAGATTAACTGAATGCATTATTATTTTGCAGTTTCTCAAAAATTTCAGCTGGACTTGTGCCTCTACTATTATTACCAAAAAAAGTTATTTTTAAACCTTAGTACCTAGAAAGTTCGTTCGAGTAATGTTATACTATTCTTGCAATAATATTAAGTGATATTTTACTCTCAAAAATGGCGTAAAATTATAAGGCACGGTTTCAATAATTTACTAAACTTACAATTACAATGTAGAATGAGAAAGGACGTTTCACATCTAACGTTTTCTATCTAATTTTAAGTTTTATGCGGAAAAAACACTACACTTGGCACTTTTTTGAGTCAAAAAAAGAAAAAAATCGTTAGAATCCTTGATATGTTTTTAATAATTGGATTATCTCAACAAAAAAATAAAGGAAACAAAAGGCGATAAAATAAAACAAAAGTATTATTATTAGATTTTTTATTTAAATTCGAAATGTAACAGTAAAACATTTCCGTAAATATAAAATCGTATTTATCAATGGATGGATTTTCAAATATTTGAAAAATATTAATTTGTCTTTTCAAAATAATAAATGAAAATCATACAATTTCGTGTATTGCCAATAGACAATGATAATTAAGTGTTACAAGTTCGACATGAAAATGAAAATAAAAACGAAAATAAAATATTAAGTAGGTAGCTTAATAACTTAAAAATAAAATTAATAAAACTTTGGTATTCGTATTAAAACCGATTAAATTTTGGAGTAGAAAAGCTATTAATATAATAGAAAATTACATGAATTTATTTACAATCATACTAAGCTGGGTATAAATTATGAAATGAAGGAAAATTAAATAATTATTGTCAGTTCGCATTTTGAGTATTATTTTTATATTATTTACACACTACTCGTTTGAAATGCTGAAAAAACCTAGGTACTTGTAAAACAATTACAAAATAATTCAAAAAAGTCTTTTTTCAATGTATTGTGATGTCATTTATTTTTATTTTTTATTTAGATCCAAATATTGTCATTTGGAATTTCTATTATTTATTTATGTTAACACTATTTATCATTATTCTTCGAAACTTTACCTGCATTATGTTAAAAATGAATATATTAATTAATCTGTAAATAATATAAATAACATTATAAAACTTTTATTATAATATTGAAAAGATTGAAACTTCCAAACGACATTAAGAATCTAAATATTTGGCAGTTTGTGTGATTAAATGAATATTTAATAACAAATGCATTCCAACATTTAGAAAATAAATGTATCTAAACCTTTACAAAGAACAATCTTAAAACAAACGGTTATAACCGACGGGTATAATTCAAAATTTCCCCAATAATTTTTATCATTTCATTCATAATGATTCATTAAAACATTGAAACTTTAATCATTCCGTAACAATCATTAATCTATCGAAAAAACTTAAAGAGATCCATCGTGGGAATCGTTCGATTTATTTTTAGCAAAAAGGAGAAATAATTTTTAATAATAAAATTTTATAATTATTATTATCTAAATATAATTTCTAAAATGATTTACTTCGATTGGACATGAGTGTTTCCTTCATGTCTTTTGGACGTAATGTCTCGTATTACATGTAATTATAATTATTAATAATAATAATGATAAGTCAGTCGAAATGTACAACCAGACTTCAGCCCAAACAATAACCTCGCGAACTGTAAGTGGCTCACAGCGACCAGCGAGTGACTTGGCGAATCAATCGCACAATGAGTGACTTAGCAACTGTCACTTGAGTGACTCGGCGAATCAATCGCAAAATGAGGGATTTGGCGTCTCAGTCACTTGAGTGACTCAGCGACTCAATCGCAGAGTGAGTGAATTAGTGACTGTCACTCGAGTGACTCGGCGATTCAATCACACGTAACTAAAAGTCTAATTGCACACAAATAACATTGCATTGTATTGTCAAAACATGACTATCTAAATTATCAATACACGTATTAAACAACTAAATATTGACACAATTTTAGGACACCCGAATGACAATCATTCGCTAACTAAAAGTCTTTAAACACAATGAGTTCGTCTCAGTTCAATTTTGTAAGAAACTTTCTACAATCTTAAAATTTCTTACCAATTTTAAGTTTCTAGTTAGTTCGACATCTCAGCATCCTTTGACTTAGGCAAAAGTACAACTAAACATAGATTTGACACCATGTGAGCTTGAGTGAGAGAACCCTTGACTCATTGTTAATAACTAACTAGCTATATTTACACAATCCCCCTTATTAATAAAAAGTTACACCTAAGATGACCCCTGGATTAAAATGACATTTTATACTAAATGTCAATTTGAGCCAGAGTTCAACTAGGGTGTAACTTTTATTATTAAGGGGTTAAGAGTGAAACTCATAACGAGTTGCAAAGTCAGTGACTCAATGTCAACAACTATCTACGGTATTTACAATAACAGTGAGTGAGTGAGTGACTTACTCAACGAGTGTCACTCACTCTGAGTGTGAACTCACCCTTACTTACAATTCGCTGTCCAGTCCAGGGCTGATCACTCAATAGTCACTTTCTAACTAATTGCACTGTTATATCGTTCGTATCACATGAATTATTTCGATTCTATCTACAATTGTTTCTAGTATGTACACTGTAACACTTAAACGACGTGGGTTTCACTCCTTTTGTTGTACGATTCGTCTATGGTCACGTTTTGTTTTTTGTTTTCTTTCCTGATGGTGCCGTATTGTGGCACGTCAGAAGTGAGGTTTTGGACAGTGAGTATTTGACTGGAGTTGCTGTTCTGTGGGGTGCTGGAAGACACAGGGCTCCCGTACTGGTTGCCGTACTTGTGCCTTGACGGGTCTTTTAAGATGGACTGCGGTTGTTTTACCATTGAAGGTGTCTGCGATAGTTGAGGGTGCTGAAAGAAAAAAAAAAGAGTTAGATTATGTTTAATTTTTTTTATTTGTTACGCTGATCCTATAGCAAAAAAGATAACTATGGTCAAAATTAATCATTAAAAAAAATTCAATAGTATTCAACTCAGATAAAACCAAATAATAAGTGAGAAATCTATAAAAAGCTCAGTTTTACGCTGATAATAACTTAAAAATTAAAAAAAAACAAGAATAGAAAAATAAGAAGTGGATAAAACTCAGTTTTACGCTAAAAATAACGAAAAAGAAACAAAATTACAATTAATTATTATGTATATTAGATTCCGAACAAAAATGTAATTGGATTTTTTTTACTTTTGGATAACAAAATATTTTAATAGAATAATGGTTTATTTACCTGATTGCAATTACCCTGGTGCAGGACTGTGACGTCAGGCGGCGGCACCGCCATCTTGTCCAGCCGCTGCCGCCGCAACGTGCCGCCGGAAGACTGACGGTCTAGTGCTGCAAAGAAAGGAACGTTTCAGAGGAATGTTTTAAGAGACACTTTTGTTGTGCTGAATAAAGGGTGTAGCACACTTATCAACTTGGAAAGGGATCGTAATATCAACTCGAGGCGGTCAGTGTGGTGTCTGAGTGGTGACTGAGTTTGTTCCGGCGTTTCTTCTCAGCACTTGCCATATGTTTGTCTCGAAGCGCTGGTAGGGCCCAAAAGATAAGGAGACATGTAAAGTGCCCCATAAGGGCTACCTTTTTCTTTTTTATTATTTTCTATTGACGTTCATAAGTGCCACTTGTGGTCTAAACTGAATAAATATTTTTGATTTTGATTTTTGATTTTGAGTATTCTTTGCGGTTGCGGTTGACAGCGCGCGAAAGGCGATACGTTGTTGATCCTTTTCCGAATTGATAGTCTGTTATGACCTTAAAGATTCCTTATCATCTTTTATCTTTAAAGTAATAGAAATAAAGATAAAATGCTTTATTTTATTCTTAAGATGTATACAGGTTGTCGGGAAGAGGGTTAGCCAAACACAATGGGAGGTCAAATCTTAGAATATTAAGTAAAAAAAACACCAAAAAATTTGCCCAAATAAAGGTTGTATTCTCAAAATGGTTCAGGTTGTTGTTTTTTTACATAATTATTTTGTTTTTTAACATTAAGGCCCTTTTCACACGTCCCGGTTGCCGGCTAACCGGCGCCGGGTATCCGGTGGTGAAGTGTATGGGCATGGTACGTAGCTTTCACATGTTCCGGCGTAATTAATCCGGCATGCCCATACTACTACACTTCACGACCGCTTCTCCGCGCCGGTTAGCCGGCAACCGGGACGTGTGAAAAGGGCCTTAAAGTTCATTAGCATTTTAATCTTCAATTTTTTTATCCTCAATATGCTCAAAATAATAAGTTTCTTCTTACCATCAAGCCCATAATTATGCGGTGGGCTGGCCATATGCGAGGGCGACCCTCCCGGCACTCCTCCGTTCATGAGGTGAGGCTTTGGCAGAGGCTGGGCCCCGTACTGCTGCGGCGGGGTGGGGGTGCGTCCTGCTTGCTGTTAAAACAAATCATATCAAGTTAGAAACAAATCATATCGAATTAGCAACAAATCATATCGAATTAGAAACAAATCATATCACATTAGAAACAAATCATATCAAATTAGAAACAAATCATATCGAATTAGAAACAAATCATATCAAATTAGAAACAAATCATATCAAATTAGAAACAAATCATATCGAATTAGAAACAAATCATATCAAATTAGAAACAAATCATATCGAATTAGTAACAAATCATATCGAATTAGAAACAAATCATATCGAATTAGAAAAAAACCATATCAAACTAGAAACAAATCATATCAAATTAGAAACAAATCATATCAAATTAGAAACAAATCATATCGAATTAGAAACAAATCATATCAAATTAGAAACAAATCGCACTGATAGTGCAAACGGGTAGTAATTCAAAATGTGTCTTTTTTCATCATCACTTCAGCTATAAGACATCCACTGCTAAACAGGCCTTCCCCAATAATTTTTACATCGCCCGGTAGCGGCCTGCATCTCTTCTGTTATCTTTATGAGGTTTTGGAGAGGAGGCCACGTACCGGAAAACGCAGTGTGGGACGTCCAGTCACAATGTCGACTGTCGACCTCATAAAGACTTTTTTCAGAAGATTTTTTTAATTATGCTTGTAGTATCATCTCAAGAATCGGCAGTCCGACAATCGCACCAATGATCATTGGTCGCCTATAGGCTACCATCATATTTTGAAAAAGGCTGAGACCCTCATATACAACAGAAAATAATGACAAAGGCCAAATAACTCACCTGTTGCAAGAATTCCCCAATAAGTGGCGGGTAGGACAAGTATCTATCCGACGCCATGTTGTAATAGGACCCGTCGAGTGGAGGCATCGGGCTGGGTGCGGGCACGTAGTTTTGTTTGCCTGGGAAAATAGCTTAGTTTAATACAAGTGACAGGTGTCAAGCAAAAATATACTGTGGTGTGTTGTAATATGTAAGATTTTTGTAATAAAAATGTATGTTGAAAAGTATAGGCCGCGCAGCGAGAGTTGAGACAATCAACACAAGCAAAGATTTGTATTTGTATACGTTCGTTGCGCTGACGTTTTGTGTAGCCTGACAAGCGCTTTGTCTCGTTTGCGCTCGTTATCAGTAATATTTAGTAAAAGCAAGGTAGCTAGTGTATTCGATATTTGAACTTTAATGTTGTGTGCTTTTGCACATGCAAATATTACGCCAGTGTGAGGAGTATCATGTTTGCCTCAACTTTCACTGCGCGACTAATGCCCGTTTGCCCACATTCAATCCCTAATTTTTAAGTGACCCCTATGAAAACAAAATTCCTGTTGTGTCATCATAGGGTTTACTTAAAGATTAATATTTATTTATTTATTTTATAGAAACCAACAGCTATAGAATATTTAAATAAATAATTTTTAATTAGGGATTGATGATGAAAATGGGCCTCAGTTTCTTCCGCCACTTTTTAGCACCAGCCCACATTTTTTTTGTATTATACAGTACAGTGGCCATAATATGTTGTCCCGAAGTGGTGGTAGAGCAAGCTATATTTGGAAAGTGTATCAGACTTGGAAAGTGTCTATGTACCTACTGATAAACTATTTTCTTCTTCTTGTCGTGTCTACAACAAACCTACACAGAGCGTCAGCCCAAAACTCCGCCGCAAGAATGGCGTAAACTATCTGATTTGATATGAAATTAAAACTCACCAGCACTTCGTCCCAGCGTACTATGTCCGCTAATATCTTTGTGCCTGTGAGGATGCGGCAGCGTCCGCGCGTGGTCCCCTTCGTACACCGCGTAGTTCGGCGGAGGGTAGTCGAGGGGAGGCGGGATGGTCAGCCCCTGCTCGTCTAGGAGGTAGGCGTCGGTCTGCTAGAGGAGAGAAGAAACGATGAATATTGAATTTGTTGTTGTTGTAATGTGCAACAAAATGTAATTGTAATGTAGCAAATGAAAGTCATGAACGTTATTTCATTTTATAAAATACCATCAAAATCAAAATTATCTTTATTTGTTTAGACAAATTAAATTAGTACTTACAAATCGTCAAATGCTCTTAAGGAGCCTATACATGTCTCATTATTTTTTTGCCCTACCTAGAGCTTCGAGACAAACATTTGGAAAGTGCTGAGAAGAAGCGCCGCAATAAACTCATCCCATCCCATTTTAGTTGAAACATATTGAAATTCAACCAATCACATCATCACTTTTTCAACTGTCTAAATTTTCATTGTTTTCTAGTCAGAAGAAATGTTATCTACTAACTTACTTAAACCGGGTCCAGACGGGTGTAATGTGTAATGTAGGATTACGTGTAATGTTACACGAATTCTACGTGTGGACGGCACTACGAGCATTACATGTCAAGTGCTGCCCATACTATTTCCATTACATAACACGATATATTCTATTACGCTTTACACTCGTGTGGACCCGACTTTAGGTACACAGTTAGGTACCGTTACTTTACTATTATGTACTATATTAATTGAATTTATAGGTCTACAATTTTGTGTTACGGGTATTTCAGTGCTCAGTCCTGGAATAATTATTTTTTATTGAGTCCTTACCTAGCTGCGTATTGTGTTATTTCGGGGAAGTTTAGAATAAATAATTAACCGCCTCTGTGGTCTAGTGGTAAGACCACCTGCTTCAGACGCAGAGGGCAGATTTTTCTGTTCGGCTTGGTTGGTGGTAGGGCTTGTTTTAAGTCCGCCTGGCTAGCTACCACCATCTTACCTAAGTCTGTCGCCATAACAACAATGTTAACAGCATTATTGTGTTCCGGCAGTTAGAGGTAAGACAGCCAGTTCCTCCGTGGTTGAGGATTCCGGGTGAAGCTCGCTTCCACCTTCGGCCTGGTCGTCACTTACTCACTTACCATCAGGTGAGATACAGGCCGAGAGCTTCGTAGTTGTGGGTTAAAAAAAAATTGAGTTATAAGTTTNTTTATTATAATTTTAAAATATTGTTGCTAACTAAAAAAAAGCTGTTTTAAATTTACTGTACTATTTTTTAACTTTGTAGTCTAATTTATAATTTAGTTACTAGTCTGACGCCTGTATTTACAAACGATGCTATTAGAGTTCTGTGATGGTTTCGTGTGTGACCCTGTGCGTCCACGAGCACTGTAAGACCTCATAGCGTAAGTTTCTTCTTACCATCAAGACCATAATTATGCGGCGGGCTGGCCATATGCGAGGGCGATCCTCCCGGCACTCCTCCGTTCATGAGGTGAGGCTTTGGCAGAGGCTGGGCCCCATACTGCTGCGGCGGGGTGGGGGTGCGTCCCGCTTGCTGTAACAAATCATATCAAATTAGAAACAAATCATATCAAATTTGAAACAAATCATATCTAATTAGAAACAAATCATATCAAATTAGAAACAAATCATATCACATTAGAAACAAATCATATCAAATTAGAAACAAATCATATCGAATTAGTAACAAATCATATCGAATTAGAAACAAATCATATCGAATTAGAAAAAAACCATATCAAACTAGAAACAAATCATATCAAATTAGAAACAAATCATATCAAATTAGAAACAAATCATATCGAATTAGAAACAAATCATATCAAATTAGAAACAAATCGCACTGATAGCGCAAACGGGTGGTAATTCAAAATGTGTCTTTTTTCATCATCACTTCAGCTATAAGACATCCACTGCTAAACAGGCCTTCCCCAATGATTTCCACATCTCAAATTATGTCAAATTAAATACAAATCACTGATTATACAATAGGGTGGTAACTCAAACTGTGTCTTTTTTTCATCATCATTTCAGTTACAGGATGTCCACTGTTGAACATAGATCTTCCCCAATGATTTTCACACTGCCCGGTTGGTAGCGGCCTGCATCTAGCGCCTTCCTGATTATTTTTATTAGGTTCTAGATCTGGAGTGTAGGCTACGTACCGGAAAAGGCAGTGCGGGCCGTTCGTAGCCTGTAGGCTATCATCATATTTTGAAAAAGGCTGAGACCCTCATATACAACAGAAAATAATGACAAAGGCCAAATAACTCACCTGTTGCAAGAATTCCCCAATAAGTGGCGGGTACGACAAGTATCTATCCGACGCCATGTTGTAATAGGACCCGTCGAGTGGAGGCATCGGGCTGGGTGCGGGCACGTAGTTTTGTTTGCCTGGGAAAATAGCTCAGTTTAATACAAGTGACAGGTAACAAGCAAAAATATTATTATACTGTGATGTGTTGTAATATTATGTAAGATTTTTGTAATAAAAATGTATGTTGAAAATAGGCTAGTTGCCTAAAAAAATTTTTTTAGTCCGTAATGTTTAATATCAAAATATATTGGACACATATATTTTTATTTGTCAATCTAACAAATAATTACATAGTTATGGTGCGTTGAAGTTGCGCACGACGTCACAACGTGCGGCATTTTTAAGCAAGCGTTGACGTCACGGGCCTCTTCTTATGAACTTTGGGGCGCTTTATCTCTTTAAATTTTCATTAGCTAGTTTGAAAAAGTGAAAAATACGTGTAGAGTATTTTTTGATAAGTTAACTGACGGACTAATTAAAACTCTTGCTTTTTGACCCAGGCAACATCCCCATTATAGACCGCGCAGCGAGAGTTGAGACAATCAACGCAAGCAAAGATTTGTATTGGTATACGCCCGCTGCGCTGACGTTTTGCGTAGTCCGACAAGCGCTTTCTGTCTCGTTTGCGCACATTATAAGTAATATTTAGTAAGAGCAAGGTAGCTAGTATATTTGATATTTGAACTTGAACATGTTGTGTGTTTTTGTACATGCAAACATTACGCTAGTGTGAGGAGTATCCTGTTTGCCTCAACTTTCGTTGCGTGACCTATAAATACAATTACACATAACTAAATCATCTTGATCTTTTCAGCACGAATCAGTCAGGTTAAAGTTATTACTGGGACGTGTAAAAGTGCTTTATAAAAACCTACTTGCAAATGCTATAGCTATAAGCTATGGGGCACACTGAAAACCAGCGTCGTGGCCTTCTTCACCGGGGTCCACGGGCCACGGCATATGCTGAGTGGGGTCCCATTGCGATGAACATCGCTGTGCGACAGGGTGGCACTGCTCAGTTTACTTTTTCTTCCATTGTATGTTTTGTGTCACCTCTGTCTTATTTGCTTTTTTTTTATTTACCTGTTTTGTCTTTTGTGATGTCCATGGCAATATGTTTCTTTCTTTCAAATTAAATGAATTAATATTTGACATAGGTTAAATTCATAATAATTAGAATAAAACTCACCTGCACTTCGTCCTAGCGTGCTATGTCCGCTAATATCTTTGTGCCTGTGAGGATGCGGCAGCGTCCGCGCGTGGTCTCCTTCGTACACCGCGTAGTTCGGCGGGGGGTAGTCGAGGGGAGGAGGGATGGTGAGTCCCTGCTCGTCTAGGAGGTAGGCGTCGGTCTGCTAGGGGACAAAAGAAACGAATTAGTGAAAATATTGAATAGTGTTGTAATGTGCAACAAAATTGTAATCAAGCATAATAAATATTTTTTCATGGTCTGACGATAATAATTATGGATGTAATTCTGTGATTTACTGAACTCAAAGCATTTTTTTTTATAAAATCCCAATTAAGTTATTGCAATAAACACTGGAGTTGTTTGTAGCTTGTCTAAAGATACGTTCAACAACGTTGAATATCAAAAAAATAAAAAATCTGATGATTTTCTCGCCTCGTCTATGGTCTAGTGGTAAGACCACCTGCTTCAGACGCAGAGGGCAGATTTTTCTGTTCGGCTTGGTTGGTGGTAGGGCTTGTTCTAAGTCCGCCTGGCTAGCTACCACCATCTTACCTAAGTCTGTCGCCATAACAACAATGTTAACAGCATTGTTGTGTTCCGGCAGTTAGAGGTAAGATAGCCAGTTCCTCCGTGGTTGAGGATTCCGGGTGAAGCTCGCTTCCACCTTCGGCCTGATCGTCGCTTACTCACTTACCATCAGGTGAGATACAGGCCGAGAGCTTCGTAGTTGTGGGTTAAAATTGAGTTGTAAGGTTNATAAGTTTCCTTACCTGGCTGAGCATATGCCGGTTCGGCATCGTCGGCACCTCTGGTATGGGAGGCGGCTGCCGATCATCTTCGTCCTGTGAATACGTCTCTGACTTCTCGGAGACGGAGCTCAGAGTCTCTCCCGTCATGGTGTCGTTGTACGACGATGGTGCATACATCTCTATGGTGGCTGACTTTGACGCTTGGCCCGCTTGTTCTGGAGATTGGGTGGGAGTTAGTGTTGTGTGGTGTTTTGTAAGTTGGACACTTATCTTTTAGGCTGAGTTGTACCACGTAACTTTACGATAACCGGTGGTTTTTGTATGGAATTTGACAGTTTTTTGACGTTTGTTAAAATTATAGTAAGATGGTTAGGCAGCTTACTTTAATTTTAGGCTTTGGCTACATTATAGGCAAAGTTAGGTGGTGCAACACAACCTTAAGCTGAGTTGCACCACCTAACTTTGACCTAACTTTAACGATAACCGGTGGGTGTTGTATAGAGTTTGATAGATTTTTGACGTTTTTCAAAGTTAAAGTAAGATGTTGCAACCCAGCCTTAGAGTTTAGACGGTCCACGGTCTTGACAAAAGTCATCAAGTCTACAGAAATACAAAAATTCAAAAGGAGTATTTTTTGATAAGTGTCCAAATTACATCGATAACGAAATAATCATTTACATATGAAAAAAAAAATGATAAGGTAAACAAGACTAATTGACAAACAATTACTACTACGACATGTAAATAATTGAAAGAAAATAACATGAGACTAAATAGTAATGAATGATTATAAAATTGTAAAAAATAATAATATAGACACATTTCAAACTTGGAAAAATCAACTTCTTCAGGTGAGAATTGAATCTAAGACAAGAAAGTTTTTTTTTCTTCTTACATTATTATGTGCCACTGTAATGTCTATGTAATTGCCTGTATTTGTGTGATGTCCATTGTAATAAATGTAACTTTCTTCTTTTGTAATTCAACTGTTTTAACTACTGATCTACCGAGAAGTGTACAAAAAAAATTGTTGAGTCACCTGATTTAGTAGATTTCTCCAAGTTCTCAATTAGTCTGAGATCTTATTAAAAAGAATGTAATCTATAAAATAGCAACAAAAATCTCACCTTTCAGCCTTCTAGAGCGGCGTTTCAATACAAAGCAAGCGACTAAGGCAGCGTTTATCAGAACTAGCACAGCGCCAGTTATTGACACGTACACCACTACTGATTTGGACACGTCAGCTGTTTCGACGTATTCTGTCGATATGACGTTCAACTCGCCTACTTCGGATGAGGGTGATGCTAGGATGGAGAAAAGAAAAGAAAAACTTAGAAAAAAAAACCAGAAAAAGAAAATAAAAATTGGTGAAAAGAAGTTTTTTACTAAAAAAATGCATAAAAAACACAATAAATGTGAATGAAAAGCTAATAATTTTTTTGTAAAAAAACTTCTATCTACCAAATTGTGACACAGAACATAAAATAACATCCATATACAACACTTAAATGCTTTTATTGACGTTGGATGAACTTCATTTTTATTTTTTTCTTTCTTTATTTTAATTATTTTGTTTATATTTTTGTTTTTGGTTGTTTATTTATATTTTTTGTTATTATTAATTTATCCAGCGTCAAACCAAGCTTATTTTCAAACTGCAAACCTCGTATCCTCTTATTCGTCCGTCTGTGAAGACAGAACCCTATCAGCAGTACATTGAGCAGTATGAGAGCGGTGCCGACTATGGTGCCTATGATGATGAAGACACCTGGCACGTTGTAAGAGTTGTACTCTTCTGAACTCGACTGTACTGATGTTGGGATTATGTCTTTTGCGTGGAAGTAAGGAATGAGTTTAATTTTTTATTCTTGGTTGAAGAAAAAACAGTTCATTACCTATATTTTTTATGATCATTAAAATAGAAAGACAATACAAGTATTTTTTATTCATTTTTATATTGAAGTGAATCAAGGCAACAGTTTTTTTTTTCAATTTGTTATTGCACAAATTACCTACTAATACTCCCGTTAGCCCCTCGTTCTAAGCTCAATATGCTTGTATCACGAGTGAGCTCACCACAATAGTCGAGCGGCTGCGGGAATCGAACCCGCGTTCCCCGGATCACAAGTCAGCCAGTCCGACCCCTTAACCATTCGGCTATCGTGGCTTCAACAATTTATTTTGATTGCATAATTTTCTGGTTTTTTTTCTTGTTTACACTGTTGATTGAATTTGATTCCAATTTATTTTTTTATCAGTAAAATCCTAAATACAATCTTATATATAAAAGAAAGTCGTGTTATAACTCAAGAACGGCTGAACCGATTTAGCTGAAAATTGTCAGGGAGGTAGTTTAGAGCCAGGAGAAGGACATAGGATACTTTTTATCCCGTTATTTATTGCCATTAAGGCGGAACAAAGTTCGCCGGGTCAGCTAGTTAATAATAAAACTATACTCACTCAATGTCGTGACTTTCGTGTCATCAGGCCTGTATTTGCTCTGTCCGATGTTGTTGATCGCCATCACAGAAAACACGTAGTCCGTGCTCCTCTCCAAGCCTCCAATCGTGAAGGTAGTCGAGTTTTTGGGCTTGACGTCTTCGTATTTGTAGGAATCGTCGTAGATTTTGCTAAAAATGTGATCGACAGTCAGTTTTTGTTCAAAAAGTATTATAAACAAGTAGTTTTGACTGTACTATGTAAGTGTTTGTAAAAAGAAATAGATTTTGCAGATGTTTTTTTTTATTTTAAATCATATAAAAAAGGATCAGGGGTGAAGTACGTAAATGCAATAAAGCATTCATTTCCAGTCCATTATGATAAAACAATGTAATTAAGTATTTTTAAAGAAGTTTAAATAACATTCCATGTGGATATAAAAAAGTACTATGTTTAATATTTTTAACACGTGCAAAATGAAGTTGATTTTATTATTCTTCAAATATTTTTATACGAAACATATTATTGTACTTACCGGTATCGAATCCTGTACCATGGTCTCAGTCCGCCGTCGAATCCAGGCACCCACTCCAAAGTCACAGAGTTGTGAGTCACGTTTGTGACGGCGAGCGATATGACTTGGTCTGCGAAAAGTGATGTTATTGTAAAAGAGAAAAAAAGATAATAATAGTGCAGTACCTATAATGCAGTGTTTTTTATTACATTTTAAATGGCAAAAAAAGAAAAAAAAACTAATAGAGAAAAATATAAAATTAGTTCTTTAATTTTACTTTTAAGTATTTAGAAGGTTATTGGTACTTATTTTCTATTTCAAAAATCACAAAACGTGATTGTTAAAAAACTAATTTAAGCCTTTAAGGAACATAATGATTTTTTTATTCTAAAAAAATATGTTGCTGCTAGAAAATAAACTTTCTTAAATAAAACTACTTACTCTATGAATGAAAATCTTACCAGGTGCACTAGTAATATCCAGTTTCACAGAAGTAGTACCAAAGCCCAGATCGTTCCTGGCCCCGCATTCATAAGACCCGTAATCGGAGGACGTGACGTCATTAATCAGAAGCACAGAAGTGTAAGTTATGGCGTCGATCTTGTGGAACTCAGCAAAGTATTTCGTTGACGTGTTGACGGGTAACTTGGCGCCATTTTTGGACCACGTGAAGTTGGGGGGTGGCGCGGCTTGGCATCTAAAATGTTCCAAAATTAAATAGATTGTTCCGAAATTTTTTTAAAGTTCCAAATTACAATTTTCAAAAGTTCCAAATTAAAATTTTCAAATGTTACAAATTAAAATTTTCAAATGTTTCAAATTTAAATTTTAAAATGCTCCAGATTCAACCAAAAGTTCTGAATTGAAGTTTTCAAATCCTAACTGTTACTACCTATGCCCTTTTTAATTTTTTTAACACTCCGTCGTTACGGGAACATGTTTTCACATATTTTTTGCATTGTAAATCTTAAAAGTATCCATATCACAAAACAATATATAAGAAAGATTTAAAAAATTACATGACACGTGAACGTGATGCTTCAAAAAAATTCTGAATTAATTATTTTTGACTTAGAAAAAAATGTAGGTACTTAATCATATAATACTTACTTGCAAGTCAACCTGCCCACTTGACCCACATTCGACGCGGACTTCATCAGATTCGGGGTCGAATCTATCTCCGGCTTGAACTTGACAACCAACATGACGTCTTGCTTAGTTTCTTTCCCCACCCCATTATTCACAATACACTGGAAATTCCCCACGTCTTCTCTCGTCGCTTTCGGGATAGTCAAATAGCTGGTTGAATTCTTAGGCTCAAATATGACAGTTTTTGAAGACATATCGTAGTTTTTGCGCTGCCAACGGATGTGTTCTGAATTCAGTGGGTTGCCAGTTGCTGTGCAGGATAAAACAGCGTCTTCGTTTTGGTTCGGTATCGCTGATTGGCCTGTGGCTTTTATGCTGGCCGCATCTGTTTACGAAAGATATTTGGTTGAATATTCAGTATTCAAGCTGACTTCAATTTTTTTCAATTCTTTATTACCAAAACGACTATAAAACTCTTAACAAATCTAGCCACAAACATCTTAATTTGATACATAAAATTTTACGTAAGATAAATAAACAACTATTTGTTTGTGAGCATGTTCTCGTAGCATGCCAGCCTTAGACACCTCCTGAAAATTTGTGCTCAAAGACTCACTTAGCTGGCAGGATATTATTATGTAGTTACAGTTAGTCCTTTTTGGCAAAACAAAAAAGTGGCGTTTCTTACACTATAACTGTATTTTGCTTTGTGTCCAATAAAGATCTATTCAGCATCACGATAACAAAATGGCTACAATAGGGCTGTTTCCTGGGTCAAAAAGCAAGAGTTTTAATTAGTCCGTCAGTTAACTTATCAAAAAATACTCTACACGTATTTTTCAGTTTTGAAACTAATGAAAATTTAAAGAGATAAAGCGCGCCAAAGTTCATAAGAAGAGGCCCGTGACGTCAATGCGTGCATAAAAATGCCGCACGTTGTGACGTCGTGCGGAACTTCAACGCACCATAACTATGTAATTATTTGTTAGATTGACAAATAAAAATATATGTGTCCAATATTTTTTGATATTAAACATGACGGACAAAAAAATTTTTTTTAGGAAACTAGCCTATTAATGTACTCACAATGCACAGACACAGTGATATTGACGGTAGCTGCCCCCTGCGAGTTGACGGCCTCACACGTGTACACGCCGGCATCAGCCCGCGACAGGCGGGTCATGTTCAGCATACTGCCTTCTGATATTATTCTATCGTCTGCGAAACAAAAAAATAAAATTAAACTTTTCATATAACATTTAGTTGCGGATTCAATGACAGTTTAACTTTCCCCCGGGACAAACTTGACCTTCACTGGTTGAGTTTTTTTGGCGATCAAGCTGTAGATCCTGGCTACACAGGAGTTGCAGCGGTGGGAACGAGAGGTGGGAATAGTGCCGTTCTCTCATGAGTCGAACAGGTTAGAATGTTCTCGGAAATTTTCTCCAGTTATGACAATGTCATCTAGGTAAATAAAGTTAATAGTCATAAAGATTACAGGTTTTAATGTAATGAAAAAGTTTTATTACGTAACGGGAGAAAAATATCTTGAAAGGCTTTGGTAAAGTATAAGTTCTGTGTAAATAATTTAACTAATTCTAAATAAAGTAAGGGTAAATTCGTTGCTATTAAGTGACAGTATTCATTTAGATGATCCGTACTTTTTGTCATTTCATTAAAAAAACCTGAACAAATAAATAATGATAATATTTCAAAAGACGACATCTATTAAAAACATAAATAAAACATAGACAATGAATTAAATTAGCGTGATGAAGCTTAAATATAATAATGTCAGTTGAAAACTATAAATATAGCAAGTACATACATATAATGTAGTCAGGGAAGTTTAGGTATAACAAAATGAAAGTACTCATAATTAAAAGACAACAACTACACAGGACAAAAGGGCTTACATTTAGATAAATAGATAACACCTTATTGTACACCACACAAAATAAAATGAAAAATGAAAGAAGAAAGTAAAAAGAGTTATTCGGTCAACGCAAAAAAGCTGAAGTCAAAGAAAAAGAACTACAAAAACTTACTACCGCTGCTATACGAGGACTGCGTGATGGGCAGGCCGTCTTTGGTCCAGGTGTACGTGATGCTGCCAGGGTTGCCGTCAGCTCGCAGCATGATGATGAGAGGTTCATTCTCTTCGCCTACCGCCGTTTCTGGGGTCGTCTCGTCGAAGATTGGCGCGTCTGTGGCAAGATTTCAGACATGATGTAATGATGTTTCTTTGCTCATGCACAAAATAGATGAGGCTGAAGACGTAGTGTGGGCAGGCCTCCCACTAGGTGGACCGACGATCTGGTGTAGGTCGCGGTAGGTGCCTGAATGCGAAATCCTTGGAGGAGGCCTTTGTCCAGCAGTGGATATCATTCAGCTGTAACGAAGCACAAAATAGGAATGTGGCTCATGGTGAATAGGTACTACTAACCTATCTCACATAAGCATTATAGTCAGCATTATCTATACTAATATTTTAAAGAGGTAAAGTTTGTGTGTTTGTATAGGTATTTGTTAAATTGTAAGGGGATCTCGGGATCTACTGAACCGATTTTAAAAATTATTTCACCAATAGAAAGCCACATTATTGCTGAGTGTCATAGGTTATATAAAAAACCGAAAAATTCCACGAGGGCGAAGCTGCGGGCGGAAAGCTAGTAATAAATATATTAAGAACTACCTATCTGGATTTTGTTAGCATACAATTTATTTTACGATGGAAGTCTTGATGTCTTTCACAAATTTATTATGACACTCCTAGAAACGTCAACGCGTAATTCTAATATTGTCTTGTAGTATGATCATGTAATTTAATGACCCTTAGTAACATGTAAAGTCTATTTGTTATTAACAAATCAAATCAAAACTGATTAGGCTTAATCTAATTTTAATTAATTAAATTAATTCTAGACATTCATTAGCCTTTATACGATCGCTACTAAGTGCTCTCAGCATGAATTTTAATCAGTTAATCTGAACAGCATTTGCGAGAAACATTCAATTAGCAAACTTAATAAACTAAAACATTAAGTCACTATAGAGGTATAAGCTTAATTTATTATTATTTACTTTTGCGATGTTTGAAGGTCATAGTAGACATATAAACTCGGAAAGGGATCAATACCGTATCGCCTTTCTTGCGCTGTCAATTGCGAGGCGAGGCGTTTACGTTACGGTGCGGATAAGTGTGCGTTGCAGTATGGAGGTTCATACAAATAATACTAACCGCTTTGAGTTGATACGGTTACGATCCTTTACGATATATTTTTTTAAATCTTAGTAAATTTTTATTGCACACATTACTAACAGTCCCGTTAGCCCCCCGTGGTAAGCTTAATATGCTTGTGTTACGAGTGGGTCATGCAATAGTCGAGCGGCGGTGGGATTCGAACCCGCGTTCCTCGTTTCTATCGCGTTCGGCTATCGTGGCTTCATAAGTGTGCTATTCCTGATAGTGTCTGATCTGCTTACTTAACAATACAAAGTTGAACTACAAAACAAATTAACAAATACTTACAAAGCACTTTCAAACTCAGGGCGTCGTGGACGCTTCGTTGAAGCGCTTCGTTCATAGCCTGGCAAGTATAGACGGCTCCGTTCAATTCCTTGGTCACGTTCAGTTTCAAGTCTATTGTGGACACCGTTCCACCGTGAAGACCCTTCTTCAGTTGCATTGGAGACCCTGAGAGAAAGAAAATTGTTAATGAGTGTAACATAACATAATGATGTTACAACACTACTCAGATAATAGACTATAGATTTATTCTACACATCCCTAGCAAAATCTATACTAATATTATAAATGCGAAAGCAACTCTGTCTGTCTGTCTGTCTCGCTTTCACGCCTAAACCGCTGAACCGATTTTGATGAAATTTGGCATAGAGATAGTTTGAGTCCCGGGAAAGGACATAGGATATCCCGGTGTTTGAAACAGGGTCGCGCGCGATAAAGTTTTTCTGTGACAGATAAAATTCCACGCGGGCGAAGCCGCGGACGGAAAGCTAGTAGTCTTTGTATGGAGGAATGTCAAGGATTATTTATTTGCTTGTTTACATGTGATTCAAGACTCATGACGCATTCCATACTAAACGTCACTTTAAACTAATATTCAACGCGCGTGTAAGACAATGTTTTAAGTACAGTTAGAGGTGGTCGATCCTAAAAAATTCAATAATATTTCTAAGAAACTTCAGTTTTTCAGTCCTTAGACAATGTAAAGTTCACTAGTAATTTAGTTTTTATTCCATCATTTCACTTATTTGTAAAATCAGTGTTTTCATCTTATAAAGTGATTCTTTTGAAATCACATGTGGTGCTTCATTGTATTCTAAAGAATGTAAAAATAAATAAATATTTTTGAAGTCAAATTCAATAGTGCCTGAAGATAGATCAGAAGCCTTCTAAGGGTCCTCGTAGACAACAGACTTTGGGTCAATAATTTGTCCGTTTTCTAATTTGTACAAGCAATCGACCAATACCAAATCGGTGTACTGTGCTTACTTTAATCAACAGCCCGACTAAGCGCCCAAAAAGACTGTATTCTACGGGGGCCTCTTCTTCTTCGTCGCTACACTCTTGCCAGAGTGGTCGTGGTCGTCACACCAGGTCCGGTGGCAAGCCTCACAATCCGTCGCCATTCCTTCTACACTGCAGCCTTTCTTGTGCACTCGTGGAGTGGACAATTGAGTGCGATTTGACCTGGTCAGTCCAGTGCATGGGCGACCTGCCGCGCGCTCTTGTGCCCTCAACCTTCCCCTGCTGACAGTTTAATTTTCCCCCGGGACAAACTTGACCTTCATTGGTTGGGTTTTTATGGTGGTCAAGCTGTAGATCCTGGCTACACAGGAGTTGCAGTGGTGGGAACGAGAGGTGGGAATACTCGTAGTCCCGTACCTTCCCCTGCACGACAAGTCGTTCAACAGAAGCGACGGGGGCCTTTAAGACACCGAAGTTTGTTCGGGCTGTTAATCAGTATGAGCATGTATGGAAGTGAGAACATTACACCGATTTAGTATCGGCCGATTCCTCATACAATTTGGAAACAGAACTATCGGCCGACTAAAAGTCTAGTCTGCACGGACTCTAAAACCTTACGAAATGTATCATCTCAATTAATTTCTCAGTCGAATTTATGAAAATTTGATGAGGCCTAGTCACAATTTCTAATTACTTAGATGAGGTTTCTCATACGTCAGTACGTATTTAATTTCACGATTGTGTCTAGTGAGCTTTGTAATTAACACTCCATTAACCGAAAGCTTGTTCGTCTTGAAATAAACTTGTACCTTTGTTCCCTATGTATTGGCATCTTGAGTAATAGGTAAGGCTTATAAACTAATAAATGATAAGTTTGTCGAAATAGGGTTATGCATTAAGTTTTACATCACATTAATTTATGTGTGCAGAAACACCAACGTTTGATGGATGTTAAAAGTATTGATGTTTTGGTAGTTGGAGGTAAGATGGCCAGTTTTTCTGTGGTTTATAATCTGACGCAGTTTGAAACGCACTGTTAGTTTGTATTCTCAGGCGTTATATTATAAACTGACGGAGTTCACAATTTCACGTTGACATAGATCGTTTCATCCACGAAGACGCGCCCCACCATTATTTCGCTAATAATTGAGTGTTATCGGTACACGCTAAATTATCCTACACACACTACAATAATGACGCTCGGATTGCTCGGCTCAAACTCCCCGCACCTCGCGCTTCCCTCGACCAAAAATTGGTGGGGCGCGTCTTCTTGGATGAAATGATCTAAAGAAATCTTTGCTTGTGTTGATTGCTTCAACTCGTACTGCTTTAAGCTATAATTTGTTTGGTCTTAGCTTGACATTTGAATATGTAAAACACTGACCTTGAACCGGTATGCCGTCGCGCCACCACGACAGAGTGGCGGGTGGGTTGCTGGATGCGGCGTCGCAGTAGAGAGTCGCTTCGATTCCCGGCTTGAGCTCTTCCGGCACTGCTCTCACCTTCACTGTCTCTGGTGCAACTGTTGAAGAAAAAATAAATTTAGTAATCGGTTTCATCTTTAGATTTACGTAGTCAATCACGATCGTATTCACAAACATTACTATGAGGTCTCACAGTGCGCGTGGACGCACAGGGTGACACACGAACCAATCACAGAGCTCTATTCAAAGCTGTGCGTTCGATTTGCTGCTTCACTTAAGCAAGCATAGTATGTCAATACCGGCGTTAGGCAATACGAGTACAATGGAACGAGGTGCAATAAATATTTAGCAAAAAGATAAATATTTAGCTTAAGTTTGTTTGATATTTCAAAGTAACACCTATTTCATCATTTCTGTTACATTCAACGTAAAAACAGCCCAGAGTAAGATTTATTTTTAAATACTTAAATACTATCCAAGAGTACCTCAAAGACAGTCTAATAGTATAAATCTGTGTCACCCTTTCCTCTAATTTTATTGAGCCCGACAGGGTTCATACTGTCCTATATTATTTCATCATCATCATCATCATCATTTCAGCCACAGGACGTCCACTGCTGAACATAGGCCTCCCCCAATGCTTTCCATGTTGATCGATTGGTAGCGGCCTGCGTCCAGCGCTTAATTGCTACCTTTATGATGTCGTCGGTCCACCATGTTAATCATCCTATTTAACATGTGGAATAGCAATAAAGAATTTGAACCTTGCTTGCAACAGTAACTTGATCTGCTAGATATCTATCGGAGACCAATCAATAGCATAACTATTTGACAGCAGTTAGTTAGATTGACAAGCAAGTCAATTTGATGATCTGTGTACATCAAATACTTTTGCCTAATAAACGTATTCCAGGAATACATTAGTACGCCAAACTATTTATATTACAATTTCAGCACCAAACTAAGTGAAAAGGCTAGATTTATTGAAATTGTATCGAGAATTCCAATCAACTACAATAAAACATATTCAATACATTCTGGGAATGATATGAATCCGTCAATAATTTTAGTTTCGACGAAATTATTATTTAGAATAGCATTCATAAGACAATAAATAGAATGAAGGGTAATTCAAAGAGATAACGGTCAATGGTACAAAAACAAGTCAAAGTCAAAACTATCATAACTTTATTATTAGGTGATTGTTAAAGTAGTACCTACCTAAAAATCGTGAAATAAAATTATTCAATAACTCTTATAAAATGCGAACAGCTAGGGATTGGAACTCGCTGCCTGCTGCTGTCTTTCCTGAACACTATAATCCGGGCCTTTTCAAGGCGAGAGTGAATAGGCACTTACAGGGTAGATATGTACCATCCTAGACTGCATCTCACTTAACACCAGGTGCGATTGCGGTCAAATACCTGCCTTGTTATGCATAAAAAATAGTAAATAAGACATGTCATGTCAGTCATCAAACATGTCTCACAATATTTTTGCCCTACCAGCCCTTAGAGACCAATATTTGGCAAGTGCTGAAAAAAGACGCCGCAACAAACTCAGTCACCACTGTCTGCCGGTTTAAAAGTAAATAAATACAAACGGATCTTCCTAGTAACTATCTATTTAACATCAATGGCTGTTATGTAATAAACAGCTTGTTAAAACAAATAAAATACCCACAAGAGAAAGGTTCATTTGAAAATATCCTTTGAATACCCAAATTCCGCTAACTGAACCAGTCCTATGTTAAGAGTCCCACGTATACAAGGCTTAACGTTGTATCACTATTTTCTGTGCCTATCTTTTTAAAAACAGCTTAATTTTTTACTGATACCGAACAAGATGTAGGTATGTATATTCAAATGAAGAATTAGAGTATTTATGCCCAGTTTAGGGCCGTTTATGTATACGAATATCACTCTACTATACAGGGTGTTAGGTAAATGGGTATATGAGCCGACACTAGCCCATGTTAACATGGTCATATAAATGGTATGTTGAAGTCAGAAAATGTATATCTTCATTTTAATTATTTTATTTTTCATACAAATCGGATTTTATAATATTTATTTTGTATGATAATTAAAATAATTAAAATGAAGATATTAATTTTCTGACTTCACCAAACCATTTATATGCCCATGTTAACATGGGCTAGTGTCGGCTCATATACCCATTTACCTAACACCCTGTATAAGGCTAGGAAACGAGTATGAACTATTAAATTTTATTAAGTGAAATGTAAGATTTAAATAATATTTATTTTTCTCATTAAAACCATACAGTCACTTAAATGAGATAACATTAAGCACCATCTTACTTTAACTTTGACAATCGTCAAAAAACTGTCAAAATCCATACAAAAAGCACCGGTTATTGTCATTATTACGGTTAAAATAAGATGGTGCAACTGAGCCTAAGTGTGGGTAATACAAAACTGTTCAGTGAGTATTTAAAATGTTGTCTTGGCAATAAAATGAAACTAAAAACTAAAACTAAATCAACAAAACAAGTTGTGCTTCTGTACTTTTGTTTTAAAAAGCAACCTGAATTCTTTTTATTGGGAAAGTATATTTAGAGCCACACTAATTAGTCCCCACCCTACGTGGGACGCTTAACAGTTTGAATTATGAAAGCGAACAGAATTTTGTGAGAACCGAAATTACAGGTTGGTAATTAGAAATTTAAATTAAGCAAAGCAATATGAATTTGCTAATTTTCTTTCGGAGTTCAATGTAAATCATTAGGTATGCAAAAGGTAAAAAAATCACCGGCTCCCTTGTTTATTTCGGAAAGTTATTAATTACCTACTCATTCATTTTATATTTTTCTATTGCCTAATATAACAATTTTACATAATATCGAGATGTTAAATAACACTGACAGAAGCCTTTTCTCTGTCACCATTTACTGACAAAGAGCGGTGTTGGCTGCTGTTGGCTGCACATTAAGTGACCTGTCATCATCATTATCATCGTAATCATCAGGTAAATAAGTCTCCACTGTAGACACACAATCGTCTCCAATTTACCAGAGGCAAATGGAGGATTTGGCCAGAGGGGTTGGGAAGGCCTGATGTTCGCATATTTCTCCCTTAGTTACCTCTTACGACATCCACGAAAAGAGTGAAGGACATATTCTTAGATACCTGTGTACCTGTTTTCATAAAGGTCTTGGAAAGAAATCAAACCTTAACTTCGAACTCCTATGTTCTTCTGATTAATTTCGTTGACGGGTCCAATGACAGTTTAACTTTCCCTCGGGACAAACTTGGCCTTTATGATAGGGTTTTTATTCGCATTTCGCACTCAAGCTGTAAATCCTGGCTACACAGGAGTTGCAGCGGTGGGAACGAGAGGTGGGAATAGTCCCGTTAATACTGTTTGAGTTAGCGCCTTGAATATGCTTTTAGTGTTAAATGTTAATCTCCATTTTGGAAACTAGATGCTAGATGGCACTGTTCCTAGTTAGCTCGCGATATCAAAATATTTTTTCCGGCTTATAAGTACTTCAGTCAGATTTTTTTAATAACCTGTCTATGCTCTGGAACTGGCGTCTTTGCCTAACTCGGCAATGTCGGCATACCCTCGGAGAAATACCTAAAAGTCGAAAGAAAAAATTAGATAAAGTTACTTTATGTGACTCACAGTGAACGTTCAGCGTGACAGTCTCAAACAGCGGTATCTCAGTGGCGCTGTTGGTTGCTTCGCAGCGGTACTGCGCCTGGTTGTCAGTCACGTTGGTCAGGATTGATATCTCCGCTGACACCGACTTGTCAGTGGTTTTCGTCACTGAGTGGATCTGAAAGAAAATTAATAGTTTAAAAAACTATAAACACGCTTTTAATTACTGCACTAAAATGTGAGAACATTTNACAATTTTGTGCTTTTGAAAAATAAAACGCCAAAATATTTAACGTCTATTTTAATTATTTGATAGATTAACGCCCGTATTCACAAACACTATTATGAGGTCTCACAATGTGCTTGGACGCACAGGGTCACACACGAACCAATCATAGAGCTTTATTCAACGCTGTGCGTTTCTATTTGCGGCTTCACTTAAGCAAGCATCGTTTGTGAATACGGGCGTCAGTCATTTGTGATCAGTGTGCCTACCATGAGTTTACGTTAGGTGTGCTCGCTAGCGACTACGTAAAAAAATGACATTTAAATGTATGACATATTGTGCAGCGCCCCTAGCGGCTACTTTCAAGAAATAAAATCTTCATAGAATTTTTTGACGTATTCGTTAGCGAGCTCACCTAACGTAAACTCATGGTAGGCACACAGTAATTAGCTTAGTACTGACGTCATTTCTATTCTTTGAATAAAATATTCAACATAAACAATATCCGAAAAAAGTTAAACTAGGCCGCATCTTAAATTTAAAACCTTATAAGAATGGCGGTCAGCGAACTGTCCCTCCATAAATAAAATTTTCTACACCATAAACCTCGGCGAGGATCTTTCTTAGTTTAATGGGTTTTTATTGTATGGGAGGTTTTAAATTTTCTTGAGGAAATTATTAAGGGAGGGTCCATAAGACTTAGTTAAGTTATTAACAGTTATTCGGTGGGAAAAAGGGCAGTTTGGAATACCTTGTAAGGTATTTTATATCCTGCAGATTTCTTATGCAGAAAGTAGGATGTTTTTTCTCTCTCGTGGACAAAAATGTGAATCCACGAATAGCGATATTCATAGAGATATAGAGAGATGCCAACTAATGCGCTGAGTTCGAAACTCAGTGTCGCATTAGAAATTGACACATACAAAGTAATCAAAATATGTGCTCATTATCCACTGCAGTATCAGTACTCAACGTTTGAATAATCTTTAGTACTACGCAAGCAATGTAAACTGTTTACATTATGACGTCTGCAGCAATTGTGTTCTGTTTTTGGGCATATTGCTGCAACACCGGCCCCGCCCCCTTGTCACATCTCCCTTTAGTTTCTGTGATCTGTGGCGATATCGATAGGTGCTCTAAGTGAATTAGGCCAGGTGCTATTCGTGCGGGTGCTCTAAGTGGACTACGTGGTCAAAAATACTTACCTTCTTGTCGTTCTTGAACCAGGTCAGGGTGGCGAGTGGATTCCCTCCCGAGGATATGCAGGACAGCTTCTGGACCGTTCCAGCTGAGAGGGTAGTCCCTGGGATGTATCCGGTGATCATCGGTGCTGAAGGAGGGTCTGGAACAAGAGAATCATTGTCATTATCATCAATAGGCTACTTGTATCTACTTGAAACGTAATCGCCCTAAGCAAACTTGGCGCCGCACTGTGGCAGACGAGGCGAAGAAAATCGGCAAGACCTGGAGCGAGATCAAACGCGAAGCTCAAGACCGAACGCGACGGAGGACTGTTGTGGACGCCCTCTGCCCCATCTAGGGGACATAGGACCTTAAGTCAAGTCAAGTCACTACAGGCGCAAGACCGTGTCTTTTTCCCAATGACAAATGGAGGATTTAACCTACATTCCCTACGCCTGGTACCCTCCTCCCGTGCCGCTCCCATACCTCAAACACTGACTGAGCTAAGTACCAACGTAAGTAAGTAAGTATATATTTTTAAAACGGCAGACAGTGGTGGCTGAGTTTGTTGCGGCGCTTCTTCTCAGCACTTGCCAAATGTTTGTCTCGAAGCGCTGGTAGGGCAAAAAAAGAATGAGACATGTATAGGCTCCTTAAGAGCATTTGACGATTTGCAAGAACTAATTTAATTAGTCTAAACAAATAAAGAAAATTTTGATTTTGATTTTGATTTTACCAATCTAAATATAACTCAAAGGTGACTGACTGACTGACTGACATAGTGATCCCATCAAAAACAATACTTGTCAAAAAAAACAAGTCTCGCAACTCAGTTGTTCTACGGTAAAAAGTTGTGAGATCCATGTAATACCAAGTCCAGGCCAGGAAATCTTTAACGTTTTACATAAATTATTGACTTGGCCATCGCACTAAATAATTTAATTTACACGTGTTTTCATGCGATGGCCAAGTCAATATATTTATGTAAAACGTTAAAGATTTCCTGGCCTGGACTTGGTATTACATGGATCTCACAACTTTTTACCGTAGAACAACTGAGTTGCGAGACTTGGTTTTTTTGACAAGTATTGTTTTTGATGGGATCTCATTTCTTTTTGTATTTTGTAGACAGCAGTTATGTATCTAGAAAACTGGACCGAAATTGAAAAATTTTACTCGACTTGGCGGTTGCACTACCGTGCCCCCAAATATTTTAGTTTTTCCTTGATTCATACACCAAACACTACTTATATTCCAAATTTGAAGCTTCTAGGTCTGCTAGAAGTGCCTTAGAATTTTGATGATCGGTGAGTCAGTGAGTCAGTGAGTGACAAAATTAAGTAACTTTGACCCGTTATAATTCTTAAACTACTGGTTCAAATTGAATGAAATTTTAAATATACCGTGTCTTTACAATGCCTGCATAGCTAATGAAAATTCAGCCTTCTAGTTTTATCCACAACGAAGTTACAGGCGGTCGAAAATGGCCTGAATTGCTTCGAGAAAAGGATGGTACGGCCGTGCCGCTTTTTTGCTCGACTTGGTGGGGGCACTGCCGTGCCCCCAGATCTATCAACGCACAGTCCAAACCACTGGACGGATCGGGCTGAAATTTGGCATGCAGGTAGATGTTATGACGTAGGCATCGTTAAGAAAGGATTTTACGAAACTCCACTCCTAAGGGGGTAAAGGTAAAACGGGATCCACGCGTACGAAGTCGCGGGCGGCCGCTAGTATAGCATATTGCACTAATTATAAAAATGGAACCAATTCGTTTTTGAAATGCATTAATTTTCCACAAATCATAGTACAAGGGCCCCGCTACAAAATTCGTATAGCATACGCCATACACCCAGCCAGTAATTAAAATAATGACCGTCGCCACCCTAGTTCGGTTAATTGGGGACATGTCCTGTTTGTATGGGCATGCTTAATTATGAAGGTATAACCACTATGCTGAGTAAATGATGATATTAATTATTGGGAGTAAATAAGGCGTTAGGGTTGTTTGGAGGGTAGTGTTACAAGATTTTTATAGTGTTTTGAGAGAGGGTTTAGTTAATTTTGTTTAACCCTTTTCTTGGCATTGTGCATTTAGAGATACGTTGACCAAAACAAAAATATGGGGGAGAAACCAAAAACTATTTTTAAATGTTTTTTTAATATAACTTTAGACCAAATACTGCAGATTGTGTTACACAGTATAGAATCGCTACAGGCTGCACAGATTTAACAGTAATATTCAAAATGTCAGACCGTTGACAGGCGTCTACGCACTGGCTAATATNGGGTTAAAGATGATAGATATAAGAAAGGTAGTAAAGAGTTTAAAGTAAACCAGATTTTAAATCAATAGTTTAAGTGTTCTGTAAGTATAAAATACAAAAAATATTTTAGATAAGCTTTGGCTCTTTGTAGGTTTCTGAAAAAATGGTCTAAATAGAACTTATTTTTATGTATAAATCTTACAAAAGCAAAAAAAAGTCTTAGGCTTTCATATGTTTTAAATCATAATTTGAAAGACTACACTTCACCACTTTACCTACGGCGTAGACAAAGGTTTCAAACAAAAAATAAGTAATACTACGTAATATACGAAGAGCCTACTTCAAACACCCTACATTATCAAGATAAAATCTAGAAAAGGGACGGCTATTTTACGAGTGATAAAGTGTGCATACCAAAATCACACCCCAATGGACGGTCAAACTGCTGAAGACGTGTCCAATACAACACTAACGTTCGGAAATCACCGGATATATTCCCAATAAATACCGCTTACAATATCAGCTCACGTCACGTGATATTCAAGTCACGTACGATCGTATCAGCCCGGGTGGAGCGAGGCGTGCGGTGTGTGGCCCCTGGACTATATTGTTGACTAATAAATTAGTGTTTTTACACTTCGCTGTGACTGAGGACACATTTACACTATAGTTACTGTAAGTACTTTATGGGCAGGGCACATAGTACGCAGAACTGACGGGCAGCAAGGTTCTGGAGTGGAGGCCGCGTACCGAAAAAAGTAGCGTGTGACGTCCACCCACAAGGTGGACCGACGACCTCATAAAGGTAGCAGGAAGGCGCTGGACGCAGGCCGCTACCAACCTAGCAACATGGAAAGCATTGGGGGAGGCCTATGTTCAGCAGTGGACGTCCTATGGCTGTGATGATGATGATGATGATGATGACTTTACTTTGAACATGAAAGTAGCTCTGTTGAATTTAGGCAGATTATAGATTTTTGTTGTAGCTACAGATTGTTTTGCACCAAGAATTCTGAACCTATTTTTAATCCTATACTATCTATACTAATATTATAAATGCGAAAGTAACTTCTGTCTGTCTGTCTTGCTTTCACGCCTAAACCACTGAACCGATTTTGATGAAATTTGGCAAAGAGATAGTTTGAGTTCCGAAAAAGGACATAGGATAGCTGTTTTTATCCCAGTTTTTGAAACAGGAACGCGCGCAATAAAGTTTTTCTATGACAGACAAAATTCCACGCGGGCGAAGCCGCGGGCGGAAAGCTAGTATCACAATAAAGTAAAGATGAAAGTTTTTATATTTAGAGAACCCATCGTTTCTCATGTGAGGGATGAATATGAAAATTCTTGTTAAAGCTTTTGGTAAGAAATGTGATATTGATAAGGGGACTCGCTTCAAAGGCTGTGTGGGAGGACACAAGGGAAGGAAGCCAGGAGCAAAAGGTAGAACGTTGAGTTACGAATAAATAAAATAATAGTAGTTGTTAATACGAGGTATTCCTCGAAGCGCACCCATTTTGAGGCGCACCTAATAAACCGCACTTAAACTATTCCTTGAAGCGCACCTATGTTATGTCGCCCTGGTACTTTTTATTCAATTTCCCGCAAAAACGATTCGAATCTGTAATTCGAATTTCAAACACACGTGTGTGTTCACACGAATATCCAGGATCGGTAAAGCAGGATCTGAAACTGGATTGCCGTAGGAACAAGCCCTTACAATACAGTGTTATCTTACGGCCATATTCAGAAACGATGCTTACTTAAGTGAAGCAGCAAATCGAACGCACAGCGTTGAATAGAGCTCTGTGATTGGTTCGTATCACCCTGTGCGTCCACGCGCACTGTGAGACCTCATAGTAATGTTTGTGATTCATCATCATCATCATCAACATTTCAGCCATAGGACGTCCACTGCTGAACATAGGCCTCCCCCAATGCTTTCCATGTTGATCGATTGGTAGCGGCCTGCGTCCAGCGCTTCCCTGCTACCTTTATGATGTTTGTAAATACGGGCGTCTTTCTTCTTCTATTTACAATACCTATTGTATTTCGTTCCATTTATTTCGATATCGATACAACAAGTAGTTTCCAGTTTTGACCGCGTTTCAATACAAGCCTTCATGAATCAATGCCCTCAGTAAGTTCTCAATATAATAGTCAATAAATTAATACTCAATTCACTGAAGTAGAATCTATTATATTATTTGCTTCGCAAAATATGAATTTTGTTTTTATTATAGTAGAATATTGCCTGGCCAAAGAAATATTAATGTTTTTTCGATTCGACTTATTGTAAGTTACTTTTTGATTCGATGTTCAATATTACGATGTCTTTCATTGTGTAGTCGATATGAAAAATCAAATTGAATAATTTATTCAATATTAAATTGATTGAAGCTACCAATAGGTACAGTTAAGAGCAAAATGACGATTTGTAAGAACTATTTATTAGTCTAAACAAATAAAGAAATTTTGACTTTGACTTTGAGTCAGCGTCAAATAGTTCGTGATACCCAAAGTCGCTATAAAGTTGACTGCACAACCTTATTTCAATTGTAACAAAGACGTATTGCGATCTTTTTGGCTACTTTGGGTGTCATTAACTATAGATCGTTTCATCCACGAAGACGCGCCCCACCATTCTTCCGCTAATGTTTGAGTGTTATTGGTACACGCTATATCATCCATGAGTGCACACGCACACTACAATAATGACGCTGGGATTGCTCGGATCAAAGTCCTCGCACCCCGCGCTTTCCTCGACCAAAAATTGGTGGGGCGCGTCTTCGTGAACGAAACGATTTATATTTGACGCCGACTATACCAGTCGACAAAACTGTTGTCTTCATTGCATAATAAATAAACATACTATTTCAAGTCATCCAACATC